TTTTGATTTTTGTTCCACATTGTTCTCCCACTCTATCCAGGATCTCCTACATAGATCCCCTTCTGAGTAACTGGGCACCATCTAGTTCTTCTGGTCTCATAGTTGTATAGGCTGAGAATCGCATGGTGTACCAGTCGCTTGGACTAATTGTTTCCATGAATCTTTGGTTTTCTTCATCCTTCTTTGCTCTGGAAGAGGAGAGACCCATTGTTGCATCTAGTTGGCTGCTTGCAAGTTTTTAAGATCCCAGTTGCCACTTGCCAAAGTAGGATGTGGAACAATGTTTTTGTGTAGTATGTTATGCCAATTGAGCTTGATGTACTCTGTGACTATGGTCCCGAGCCCACAGGTCTAACTACTTACTCCCTCTGGGTAGCTGGCTGTGGTCAAGAAGTGACTACAACCTTGCCCCTTGTCAGCTCTACTATATACCTGGGAATTCTTACAGAACACACAAATATACTTGTAGAAACATTGTCTGCCAGCCATATATATGGTCTTGGGTACACTCCTGCCGACATGGACATACCTAATAGTTCAGCCTGTCCACCCACCTATCTGCCCATATATCAATGTTTGTCTTCACTGACAACACAGTACTGTATGTGCAAAAGGGATCGTCTTTGATGTTTGTACATCCCACACACCTCTCTATGTCTTCCTCCTCCTCAATGCCATCATGTTGTTTACTCCCATTTGGTATATTGCCCTTCTCTTCACCCAAATTAATACTTGTCTCTACCTATCTAACAGTATTTCCTACCCTTCTCTATCCTCCCATCCCTGGTAACCAACACAGAAAGTGGCCTTCCAAATATAAACCTTCTCTTGACTATATACAATAATGGACTTATACAATATTTGTCCTTCTGTGACTGACTTATTTTGCTGAGCAGAATGTCCTCCAAGTTCATCCATGTTATGCGGTGTTTTGCCAATTCTACATTATTCTTCAAATTTGTATAGTATTCCATTGTGTATATGTAGTATGGTTTGGTTATCTATTCTTCTGTTGATGGGTACCTAGGTTGTTTCCATCTTTTGGCTGTTGTAAATAGTGCTGCAATGAACATGGGTGTGCATATGTCTGTTCTTGTCCTGGCTCTCACTTCTTTAGGATATATACCTAGTAATGGAATGGCTAGGTCAAATGGTATTTCTAATTCGAACTTTTTAAGGAATCAGCATACTCCTTTTCACAGTGGTTGTACCATTTTACAGTTCCACCAGCAGTGTATGAGAGTCCCAATCTCTCCATATCCTCATCAGCATTTTGTTATTTTCTGTCTTGTTGAACTTTGCTACCAGTGCTGGGGCAAGACAGTATCTCATTGTTGTTTGGATTTCCATCTGTTCAAGGGGTCACTATGAATCTGGTCTGACTCAATGGCACATAACAACAACAACAATGGCTAATGGTCATGAGCATTTTTCATATATTTGTTGCTTGCCTGAATATTCTCTTTGGTGTAGTATCTATTCATGTCTTCTGTCCATTTTTTAATTGGATTAATTTTGTTGTTGTTGTTGAGGTGTTGGAGTTTTCTATAAATTCTAGAGATAAGTCCCTTGTCAGATATGTCATTGCTGAATATTCTTTCCTAACCTGTAGGTTCTCTTTTGACTCTTTTGGAGAAGTCTTTGGAAGCACATAAAAATTTAATTTTTAGAAGGTCCCATTCATCTAGTTTCTCTTCTG